CTAAAAAGAGCAGCACGAGGAAGAGCCTGTATCATTCAGTACCCACAGCTGTTAGCTGCGAGGTCGGAAGGAAGCACTGTGGCGTTAGCAGCGGTTGATGAGCCCTCTCCACAGATCGCGTTGTGCACCTCTATAGAGTTAACCTCTGAAGGTCAGAGGGGTGATCATTGTCTCAAGTTACACAAGTTCAGTCCCTGTTCTGTGAGAGGCCTGCCTTCGAGCTACGTCCGGTTGAGTGGAGAATGGTGGAGCTCGCCTGTAATCCCAGCATTTGGGAATCTGAGGCAGGGGGCCAGTCTGAGCAGCATATCGAGATCCTGTCCCAGAGAAAAAGAGAGACAAACTAACAAAACACTACATTATGATTAAACAGAGTTGACCTTGTAGATGTGTAATAGGATCCGATGTGGCCCTTGCAGTCACGTGGTCTGATTTGCCTTATCTACAAATGGGGGTTTATGGTTTTTTCCTGCTCTAATATTTATTGACCTGTCTCTTGCTTTTAAAATTTACTTTTACTAATTCTTTGGGAATTTTATACATGAACATTTTAATCGTGGCGCTGACTCCTCACCCACTCCCACTCTTCCATCCCAGGAGGATGTCGGGGGTCCTTGCTTTCCTAACTTCTTCCCTTGAGACAAGGTCTCTCTCTGCTTTTGGAGCTAGGCTCCCAGCCTGCAAGTCCCAGCAATCCTCTTGTCTCACCCTCCTATGTCCACCGCATAGCAGTTGGGTTGTGGGCACAGCCTACCACAGTTGTTTTTTGTTTTTTGTTTTTTAAACAAAGGGCTCTAAGGATTTGAACTCTGATCCTGCTTGTGCCACTGAGCAGATCTCCCTTGTTCCAGGGATTAGGTTTTAGGCTGTTTGGATTTTAGGCTTGGATCTAGTCGTGAAGAGTTGGCATGATCAGATCCTGCCTCAGAAAGAGGGAGAAAGATTAAGTTCTCCCAAGCTGCTTAAGGATGAGGGCAGGAAGAGTGTCATCTTTGGTCCCCAGCTGGTGGCACTATTGAGGAGTAATGGGATCATGAAAGCACTAACTTCAATAATGGATTAATCAGTTGATGAATTCATGGATGAGTGGGCTATTAGGCATTGGGGCCCAGTTACAGAAAGTGGGTCACTGGGGTGTGTCTTTTGGATCTCTCCTTTCCCCTGATCAAACTTAGGTTGTTAGACTCTCATGGTTTGAATAAGAAATATCACCGAGTGTGGTAGCACTCGGGAGGCAGAGGCAGGTGCATCTCTGTGAGTTCAAGGCCAGCCTGGTCTACAGAGTGAGTTCCAGGACAGCCAGGATTGTTACACAGAGAAATCCTGTCTCGAAAAACCAAAAAAAGAAAAGAAATGTCCTCCATAGGCCCAGACATTTGAATCCTTGTCCTCAGTTGGTGGGGCTGTTGGGAGAAGTTACAGGGAGGGAGAATGTAAGATCTCTCCTTCCATTTCCAGTGTCTTTTAAGTTGGAAATGCAATGTCTCGGCATCCTGCTCCAGCCAGCATGACTACTCTGCCTCCTGTCTGTGACTGATTCTTTTTTTTTAAATTTTTTAATTTAACTTTATTTTATGTGCATTGGTATGAGGGTGTCAGATCCCCAGGAACTGAAGTTACAGACAGTTATGAGCTGCCATGTGGGTGCTGGGAATTGAACCACGGTCCTCTATAAGAGCAGCAGGTGCTCTAAACTGCTGAGCCATCTCTCCAGCTCCTCTGTGACTGATTCTTATCCCTTGAAACTATAAGCCCCAATAAAGTGTTTCTTCTGTCAGTTGCCTTGGTCACAGTGTGTTATCACAGCAACAGAAAAGCACTCAACACCGCCGCAAGCTCTGCTACCTCTGAGCCATCTTACTGGCCCGCGTGTCTCTCTTCTGTTTTTATGGTCCTGAGGGTCCGGCCCAGGGCTTTGGGCAGGCTAGGCAAGTGTTATATGAGGAACTACAACTCTTAGACCCGCCCCTCTTCTTAAATGAGGGACAGGGTGTCATTATGTAACCCAAATGGTTTCAGACTTGAGATCACCTGTTTTAGCCTCCCAAGTGCACCACACACCTGGCTTTGAAAGTAAATTTTATGAAGGGAGAGACGGGTCTGATTCATACTCTCTTGGGTCCTCAAATCCTGGAGCAGTGTTTGTTTGTTTTGAGATAGAGTCTCTCTATGTAGCCCTGGCTGTCCTGGAATTCACTATGTAGATCACAGAGAGATCCACCTGCCTCTGAAGGCATGTACACCTCCCCCCAACTATTTGTTGGTTTTTTTGAAATAGGATCTCCTGGTCTATGTAGCCTAAGGTGGCCTCAAACTCCCTATGTAGCCCAGGCTGGCCTTGGCCTCCTGATTCTCCTACCTCTGTCTCCTGGATCCTGCATTAAAGGTGTGTGCCACCATACCTGGCCAGTTGTTACTTTTTGAATCTCCTTGTGATGATATGCATTTGCACGCACTTCTAAGTGAATATCCAGAACAGGTTCACAGAAGCGGAACTGGTTGGGTAAAGGGATGCAAGTTGTACATTTAAATGAAAAACAACAACAAACTCACTTTCCTGGGTGAAATAGAATTGGGGTTTGCCCTGCTTGGTTGCTATGCACCATTGCGCTCAGCAGGGTAGGACAGGGAGATAAGCATGGGGAAGTGGCGAGGGACCAAGCCCCACGGACCCTCCGCGTCAGGTGAGGAACTAAACGGGGTGCTGAGGTGCCACAGCTGGCGAGAGGTGGAAGAACGATGCGGCCCCGAAAAGGCTGGAAGGCTGCAGGAGGAACGGACACCAGGTGGCTACCCCTTCTCCTAAGATCCCCGTTCTGACCTGGCCCACACCTTTCTGCTCCCCTCTTACCCAAAGGCACTGGTCTCTGGGCAAGAAGCCAGGAGGGAGAAACCTGTCCTTCCAGCCGGGGCTGTCTCGGTCACGCCACACTGCTGTCTGTCCAGCTGAGCCACTCAGCAGGTATGAAGCAGAAGCAGCCAGAAAGGGTGGTGGCACCCCAGGACCGAAATGGGGGTCTGCCTGCCTGACCCGAACCCCAGAGGCCAGATTCACTTCAAAGCTCCATACCTAGCAAGGCCTGGCCTGTCTGAACTGCTTGGAGCAATGCTTAGCAGAATCATTCCTCCTCCCATGCACACTTTGCACAGTACACCAGCAGGGGCATACTTTTTAGCGTTTTAAAACCTAAGTGTTCGGGACTGGAGGGATGGCTCAGTGGGTAGAGGGCTTGTCGCTCAATCTTGAGGCCCTGAGTGCAGATCCTCTGCACTCATGCAAAAGCTGGGTGTAGCTGCAGGGGCGCCGCTGTGGCGGGTGAAGACAGGAGCATAGAGCCCAGCGAACAGGTGAGCTTGAGCTTCTGCGAGAGAAGACCTCCGGTGGAGAGCAATGGAGGGGAACACCCAACATCTACAAGCCGGCAGTAGCCGGGCGGTGGTGGCACACGCCTTTAATCCCAGCACTCAGGAGGCAGAGACAGGGGGATCTCTGTGAGTTCGAGGCCAGCCTGGTCTGCAGAGTGAGATCCAGGACAGGCGCAAAGCTACACAGAGAAACCCTGTCTCAAAAAACCAAAAGCTAAACAATAAATAAATTTAAAAAAATAGAAAAACAAAACAACCACGAAACCAATGGTGTCCTGTGCTACAAGACGGTAACTATTATAGTCGCCATTTTGTAGCTGACACAGTGAGGCTCAGACAGTTGGGTGGGACTGGTGAGAATCCAGGGCTGCCTCTCCTAGAGAATCCCAGTCACACGCTAAGTCACGGCGAACTTGCTCAGGAGGACACCTGCTTGAAAAGCCGAGTAGCACGGAATGCCCCATTTCCTTGATGTGGTTACAGGTTAGTCAAACATGTGCCTAGAGATGGAGACAAGTTTCATGCTTGGGACTACAGAAAAGCCGGTTCAGCCAGTCAGCTAGCTGGGTCTCTTCTACTGTATTAAAATCTGGAAGGTATCACATCTCTATGGTGTTTTGAAAATTCTGATTTGAAGCTAGCCACAGTGATGCAGATCTGTAATCCCAGTACTCAAGAGGTGGAGGCAGGGGCATCAGAGTATGATGCTAGTGGTACCATGACTCAGTAGGCAAAGAAGAGCTGAGTTCAGAGCTCACACTTTAGTAGCTCCAGCGCTGGGTAGGTCAGAGATGGGAGGATTGTTGGGGCTCACGAGCCAGAAAATCTAGCCTGAAAAAAATGTTGGGCTCAAGGTTCAGTGAGAGACCATGTCTTAAGGGAATAAAGTGAAGCACAGAGAAAGACAGATGACCTCTGCCAGGTGGCGGTGGCCCATGCCTTTAATCCCAGCACTAGGGAGGCAGAGGCAGGTGGATCTTTGTGAGTTTGAGGCCAGCCTGGTCTGCAGAGTGAGTTCCAGGAAAGGCGCAAAGCTACAAAGAGAAACCCTGTCTCGAAAAACCAAAAAAAAAAAAAAAAAAAAAAAACAGATGACCTCATCTGGACTGAGTGTGTGTGTATATGCGTGAGCACGCATGAGAGAGAGAGAGAGAGAGAGAGAGAGAGAGAGAGAGAGAGAGAGAGAGAATTTCAAAGCACTAAGTCTGACGTTCTCGGAGGAAGCTTGTCTAAGAGTGAAGCTGGTTTCTGGAAACCTAGACTGAACTCCTGTATCCAGACATGCCTGCAGCTGGCCATTCTGAATCAATGGCATGAACCAATAAATCCCATGTGATGCTTCACCAATGCCAGGTGGATATCACCACTTCCTTCTGAAATCTTATTCACTCACCCTTGTCTCCAAAAGAAAACAAACCCAGGCTGGGTGGGGTGTTGCATGCCTGGAATAACAGCATTCTCAAGGTGGAGACAGGAAGGGGAGGTGATTGTGAATGACACCTGTAATCTTCTCAAGAGGGGATCATCTTGGCCTCCAGGCTAGCCTAGGATACATATAAATTCCAAAGACTGTCTGGGCTTCAGAGTAAAACTCCTATCTCCAATAACACAGAAAACAGACTCATCTACTCATTCAGCCAGCCAGTGTTTATTAGACATACGCTGGGTGATGACGGAGACCCCACAATGACCACAGCAGAATGTGTCCCTCCTCTTTCAGCAATCTAGGTCTACTAGAGCTTATACAAGCTATTGAGCAACAACGACTACACCTGCAAGAATTTCGGAAGCCACAAGAGAGGTGCATGATGGGTTGTCAGGAACAGTTGGAAGGGCCTCCGAGGACAGGACATTTTGATGTCCCTAGGAAGATGAACCAGATCTGCCAAGTGACACAGGGCCACAGGGGTCCAGGCCCACAAAAGCAGGGCCTGGGGCACAGCTGGGGTCCAGGGCAGCTCCCACACCTACAACAGGACTTGGTATTGCAAGAAGGAAAGATGGAGGGAGTGGGCAGGAGCAAGTTGTGGCTGAGACACACGAGGTTGGGGTGGGAGGAGCTTGAGGAGGTCCGGGTGTGGCTGAGAGGCAGGATCTTCAGGCAGAGGTGAACACATGGCCTCCCCCTCATCTTCAGAGAGTGGTGTAGAAATACATGGCTATCAGCATCACAGGGAGCTAGGGGGGCAAATGATGGGATTGGGCAATCCAGTCCAAACCTGCTTGTCTCCCCCAAGCCCACACCCACACCCCTGGACACCCGCAGGTCCCTCCTCCACAGCCCACAGGTGTCTCCTTTCTCACTGTCCACATCAAGATGGCGAAGCCGAACCACGATATGCCCCATGTGTAGCTGTCAATGGCATGGCCGATGTGCTCGAAGCAGCCCTGGAGAGAGAGACAACAGAGGTTCACTGAGTGGCAGGATGGCAGGATGGCAGGATGGCAGGATGGCAGGCATGCGTACAAGGCCTGGCTCCAGCAACTGATGCCATTCCTGTTGCTGCTCTCAATCCCAGCCAGCCAGCTGCAGACATCAGGTCTGAATCAGAGTATTTGTGCATCCTGCTGACTCATACAAAGAGCTGGGAGGGCCAGGGAGAAGGGAAAGAAGAGAAGGCCAGCGAGGAGAGGCTGGAAGACAGATGGACAGACCGACAGTAGAAGGGCGGAGGGGGAAACAGAGCAGATGATAGACAGCCGCAGAGGACAAAGGGACACACCTTGGTAAACAAGTAGTCCACGTGGCCCACTCGGCAGCCTTCTCCATTGATGGGGATGAAGTTCCCTGTCCGGCGGCAGCACAGAGGGGGCCAGGGGAATTCCACTTCCGGAGTGGCTGCCCGGAAGGCTGATGTGTAATTCACCCAGTCCATGGGGCCAGATGTGCCACAGCATTCTTGCTGTAGGAAGAGCCAGGCTTAGGCTGGGGCTGAGGTCACACAGTTAAAGAGAGGCAGATGGACATTTGGCACAGCTGGACCCCACTCGTTAGAGTCCTGGACTCTGCGAAGGCTGACAGGTTTGGCCCAAGCCTACATTCATTTTCTTTTAAAATTCTTTGGTTGATAATTCTTTGGTGCTGTCAAAATGACACCAAACACTAAATGGGGCTGGGTGGTGGTGGAGGGACAGTGCGGGGAGATAGCCCAGCATTTAAGACACCTGATGCTTTTCAAGAGGATCCAAGTCCAGTTCCCAGCATCCATGTTGGGTGGCTCACAACCCCCTGTAATTCTAGTTCCAGAGGATTCCATGTCCTCTTCTGACCTCTGTGAGCACCGCCCCCCCCACACACACACATGTCTAGACATACACACAGACACACATATGCACATAAAAAAATTAAATCAGATTTTACAAAAGCAGACTTACGGCTTTTCTCAGCCCACCGAGTGGTTTGTTGTTGTTGTGGGGACACGGTCTCACTATGTAACCTAAACTGGTGGCAGCCTGCCTCCGCCTCCCCAAGTGCTGGAATTCTAGGGGTTTACACAATGCCCGGCTCAAATGGGTATTTAACCAGAAGCCCTTGGGTGGGCACCCCTCAACATGGTGCAGTTTCTGGGCCACTGCGTGACTTGGCCTGAGCTAGGATTCAACACCTGCTTCCTCCTCCTCCTCCTCCTCCTCCTCCTCCTCCTCCTCCTCCTCTGCTTCCCTTTCTCCTCCTTTTTCTTCTGCAATATTATGTTGGATGCATTAAGAGTCCAGCTTCTGAGCTAGCTATGGGTGTATTGTGTCTCAGACCTGGAATCCCAGAACTGGGAAGCAGAAGCAGAAGGCATGAGGATCTCAAAGTCATCTTTGGGTGTATAAAGAGTTCAACACCAGCCTGGACTTCAGGAATTTTTGTTTGTTTGTTTGTTTTTTTTTTTTTTTTTTTTTTTTTTTTTTTTTTTTTTTTTTTTTTTGAGACAGGGTTTCTCTGTGTAGCTTTGCGCCTTTCCTGGAGCTCACTTGGTAGCCCAGGCTGGCCTCGAACTCACAGAGATCCGCCTGGCTCTGCCTCCCGAGTGCTGGGATTAAAGGCGTGCGCCACCAACGCCCAGCTGGTTGGTTTGTTTTTTGAGACAGGGTTCCTGGCAGCCCTGGAACCCACTCTATAGATCAAGCTGGCCTCACAAGATCTACCCACTGGGATCAACGCATGTGCCACCTGTTTGGTTAGAGCCTCCGGCTCGCCCCTGCAGGTTCCAGGAACCTCCCTGTCTCTCTCTCAGAGAGTCTCCGAACAAAGGAAAGGCGCCAAAAAGCCTAGTTCTGCATTCTTGATGACTATTGCTCCCCTGATGCTGCCCGCCTAAGTGCTCAGCTTTTGACCATACTTGGCCACAAATCCAGCTCGTGGTGGACATGTCATCACCCTTCACCTACAATCTATAAAACATCCCGCCTTAGCTGGGGCACTCGAATTCTCTGGCCTCAATCTCTGGACCAGAGAAACTGCCTCAGTTGCTTTGCCCTCAAATGCCTGTTGTTACACTTTTTCAATTCGGCTTGTTCTGGCTTACTGCATCAGCAGAGAAACTTATTATCGGAGGACAGAAAACCTATTGCCACCATTCTGGACTTGACCTCTGTCTTAAAAATGAGTGGTAAGCAGGGTTGGAGAAATGACTCAGAGGTTAAGAGCACAGGCTGCTCTTGCAGAGGAAATGGGTTCAGTTTCCATCATCCACATTAAGTGGCTCACAACTACCTGTGACTCCAGCTCCAGGGGATCTGATGCCCTCTTCCGGCCATTGAGGGCACTGCATACACAGACAGCATGAGAAACACTCATACACAAAACTGAAAAATAAAAATCCCTTTTTTCTAATTTTAGTGTGTGTCTCTGTGGTTTGCATGTTTTTGCACGTGTGTGGTTTGCACATGTGTGCATGTATGTGGAGGCCTGAAGTCGATGGAAACAAGCATCCTTGGATGACTCTTCCATCTCCTTTACTGAGGCAGTGTATCTCAATCAGACCCAGAGCTTACCAATATGGCTAGTCTAGCTAGCCAGCTTCTCTGCGGTGTCCCCTGCCTCCACCTGAGACTGGAATTACACCCTCAGCCCGCTTTATCTGGGTTTCGGGCAACCTGATTCTGACCTTCTCACTTGTAGAAGAGGCACCTAACCACTGAGCCATCTCCCCAACCCGTAACATACATATTCTTTAAAAATATAATAAAGGAGCTCATCATGGTGGAACAGGGCTGTCATTCTAGCTACTCAGGAGACTGAGACAGGATCACAAGTTCAAGGCCTGCCTGGGCTACATAGTGAATTAAAGGGTAGCAACCCTATCTCACTCAAAAAGTCAAAAAGTAAAAAAAAAAGAGGGCTGAGAAGTAGAGTAACAAATAGCTAAGTGGTAGAGCCCTTGGCTTGAATTAGTAAGTCCTGGGTTTGGTCCCCAGCAACACACACACACACACACACACACACACACACACACACACACACACACACGCTCAAGGTCAGTCTGGCTTCCACACTAAAGGTCACTGTCATCATCCACTGTCAGTGTCCCAGTGCGGGCCCTGCCACCCACCGACCTGGTGACCCTGGACAGTCTGCTGTCTACAAAACCATAGTGACCAAAGGCCCCCTGCCCCACCTGGGTCCCCAAGTGGATGTCCTCACACATGGGGTGACCACAGAGCCCGACCCACCTCAATCATGACCCGGTCCCAGAGGCGGGTGAGCTCCTGGCCCTGGTCGCTGTCTGCACTGTAGAAGGTCAACATTTGCTTGGTGATCAGGGACGGGTTGGACACCATCTGAGGAGGGAGGACAGGGAAGAGCAGGAGCCAGCTGGATAGGGATGGGGGTCTACTCCCCTCTACCCTCCCAACTCTAGGGATGCCCCCCCTGCCCCTGGCCTCCACTTGGCTCACATAGTCACGGTGGGTGTAGGATGTGATGCAAGAGGCACACTCAAAGATGTAGACGATGAGCATCAGCAACAGGTACTGTGGAGAGAACGGAGGCAGCCCATGGCAGAGGCCAGCTGGAGGCCATGCCTAAGAGCCTCGGGCCAAAGGGCCAAAACAGAGGTGGCAGGTTCTCATTGTGCAGACTTCCCTTGTTAGCCTGGAAATCACTACATACAGAGCTGGTTTCAAATTCATAGAAATATGCCCCACCCCCTCCTGCCACCGAGAGATGGAATTAAGGGTGTGCCATAATACACAGCCCCAAACAGAACTTTTGTTCAGGGGACAGTGCTACCTAGCATGTATAAGACTCTGGGTTCCCTCTCCAGCAGTGTACGCACACACACACACACACACACACACACACAAACAAAAAACACAGAGGGACTAATTTTGAAAAAGTAGTGTGTGAGGTGGAAGATTGAAAACTTGAGACCAAGCTGGTCAGTGATGGCGCACGCCTTTAATCCCAGTGCTAGGAAGGCAGAAGCAGGTGGATCTCTCTGAGTTTGAGGACAGCCTGGTTTACCGAGTGAGTTCTAGGACAGCCAGGGCTACACAGAGAAACCCGTCTCCAAAAACCAAAAAGGAAAATAAAAAACAAAAGCAACGAAGCTGTTCTCAAGGTGTCAGCATTTCTGCTCACACAGGGCACTGGAGACAGAAGGGATTAAGGAGAAAAAAAAAATTTTTTTTGAGACAGGGTTTCTCTGTGTAGCTTTGCTCCTTTCCTAGAGCTCACTTGGTAGCCCAGGCTGGCCTCGAACTCACAGAGATCCACCTGGCTCTGCCTCCCAAGTGCTGGGATTAAAGGCGTGCGCCACCACTGCCCAGCAAGAGAATGTTTTGCAGTGTGCCATGGCCTAGAGGGCAAAAAGCATTAAAAGGTCAATATAACTCAGCAGTAGAGTACTTGCCTAGAATCCATCAGTGATGGGCTGGGTGCTTGTCTATTACACCCAAAGCCTGGGTTCCTTCCTCAGAAAGGCACGGTGTCTTTATATGTCACATAAAAAATATACTCAGATATTTACAGAAAAATACCTGGACGTCTAGATTATGGTTCAAAATCCTTTGGGGAGGGGCTGAGAAGTGGCTCAGGAGCTGAGAGAGCAGTGCACAGGGAGGCCCTGAGTAAAGCCCCTGCACCCACACCAGGAGGCTCACACCACCAGTACCTTTAGTTCCGGGGCACCTGCTGCCCTCTTGTGGCCTTCACATGCACCTGCACTCACGTGCACATACCCACAGACATATACACATTTAAAAACATGAGCCGGGTGTGGTGGTGCACACTTCTAATCCCAGCACCCGGGAGGCAGAGGCAGGAGGATCTCTGAGTTCAAGGCCAAATTGGTCTACAGAGTGAGTTCTAGGACAGTCACAGCTACACAATGAGGAAAAAAAAATGAGGAGAAAGACAAGTCAGATATATTTTTAAAAAATTAGAGGTCAGGCATGATGGTGCATGCCTTTAATCCCCGAACTTGGGAGGCAGAGGCAGGAGGATTTTTGTGAGTTTGAGGCTGGGCTGGTCAACACAGCAAGCTCCAGGACAGCCAGGACTCCATAGAGAGACCTTGTCTCAAAAGAATCAACAAACAAAAACAGTAGCTAGGTTGACTTCCAGGCTTTGATTAAACTGTTATGTCAGAAAGCTAAATATGTGATCGGAGGGTGGGGAGGAGGGCTGGGAACATGAGAGAGGGACTGGGTGTGGCAGTGTACACCTGCAGTCTCAGCACCTAGGCAGAAGCGGCAGGCATCTGTGAGGAGCTTGGTCCACACAGTGTGTCAGAAGAGGCGGGTGGGGGGATAGGAGGAGGAGGGAGTGTGAGGAAGTCCTTCCATCAATAGCCCCATCTTATACATAATAAAGGCCAACTCTCCTTAGCCGCTCCCCTCCCAGCCCCTACCTGTACTGTTTTCTGACTGCCGGATAGATGGCGCCCGCTCCGGCCACAGGGCCTTTGCTCATGCTGCTCTTGAGTGCACACTGTGCTCACTGCCCCTCACCTGCTTTTCTCTGCTGCTGCTGCTGCTGCTGGATGTGGGTTTTCCTCACCCTACCCAGGCTCCCTTGTTTCCCCAGACCAAGGGTGTTTTCGCTGTGCTTCTTGTCCAGTAAACACTTATTGACTACATAAAGTTCCTGGGAGGCTAAGGACCCTCCGTAGCAGAGGAAGCACTGAGCTGTTTGCACAGGACATCTGCTGCCCAACACCAGGGAGAGGCAGTGGCTCCCCCCTTGGAGCTTCCGTTTCTCTCTCTGGTAAATGAGCTTAAAATGGAATATAGAATAGAATATATAGCTTAATATAGAAGCCACAATTTCATATGGCTTCTGGGAAGCCCGAGAGAGCTCATGGCCTAAACTGCTTGCTATAAGGGCAGGGGCAGGGGATGTGGCAGGGATTAAAAGTGTGGGCTCCCTGGGGGTGGCGGTTCATTTCAAAGCAGGCTTGGTTTACACAGTAAATTCAAGGTCAACCAAAGCAGAATGAGACCCCCATCTTAAAACAAAACAAAACAAAAAGGTGGAACACATCTCTAATCCAAGCACTGAGAGGCTGAGGCAGGAGGACTGTGAGTTGGAGGGCAGCTGGGGCGGCATAGGAGACTTTGTCTTAAAAATGTAAAAGCAGGGGCTGGAGAGATGGCTGGCTTAGTGAAAGCCGTGTGCTGCTCTTCAGAGGTCCCGAGTTCAGTTCCCAGCTCCCCCATCAGCATCCCACCGCCACCTGCAACTCCAGCATCAGGGGAGCCAACTCCCTCTTCTGGATTCCTTGGACAGCTGAGCAAGTGTGCCACACATATGCACACTCATACACTAATAAAACACAAGAAATCTTGGGGCTGGAGAGATGGCTCACAGGTTAAGAGCACTGGCTGATACTGAGTTCAAGTCCCACAACCACATGGTGGCTCACAACTCTCTGTAATGAGATCTGGTGCCCTCTTCTGGTGTGCAGGTGTACATGCAGAGCTCTCATACATAAAAAAAATATATAAATAAATAAATAAAATAAAATAGAGTAACTCTTAAACAGCAACTAGAATTGAGTCAAGAGCTGGTTTGTTCTGGTGTAACTGGGCTGTGTGGTCCTGTATGGGTGACTTCCTCTCCCTGAATCTGTTCCAATTTTTTGTCAAATAGTGTAGAGGTGATGACATTTCATCACAGGCCACGTAACATATTTGAACTAATCTGTGTAAAGTGTTGAGCTCGGGTTATATATTGCATGCTTGTTAACTGATAGCTGTGTTATTATAATTCATTGTTATTGCAACTCAGGACCACAGATCTTGGAGACCAATTAGTTGGGTTTCAATTCTCATTATATTATTGGGAATTCTTCAATGAGGGTGATGGTAGAAACTAAGTTATGGGGCCAGGGCATGGTGAATGAGATGGTGTTGTGAGGTCCTAAGTGAGGTGCCATCCAGGAGTCACCCTCATGGCCCCTGCTGTCACCCGTGACTGTGATGACCACTTCCACCATCCCCAACCTGGGATCTCACCGCGAGGATCATGGACCGACGGCGGCAGAGTGCGGCTCCCACACCAAAGCTGGCCACCACGAAGAAAGAGAAGCCGCAGAAGATGGCAATCCAGGCGCCAGCGAAGACATCATCCTTGCCTGAGACGCCCATCAGTGGGTACACACGGTACTGGTCAGCTGTCACCCACACTGTCTCGGCAAACAGGGCCAGGCCTGACAACTGGACAGGAAAGGTTAGGGAACTATGGGAAGTATGCCTGGGGCCAGCAGTTGGGGTGTGAGTCTCCAAAAGCACTTCTTTCCTGGTCCAGAACCTGCCCGTGCCCTTGGGGTAAAGTGGGCTTGGAAAGGGCCAGCCACATCTTTATGAGCAGGGATGGGGTAGGAAGAAGCCAAGAAGGAAGAAATAGGTCCAGCTAGAACCTCAGCCCCCACATCCCAGGTGCCAGTGGCTTCAAAGACAAAAGGAGATGCCACATGCCAGGCTTGGCAAGCAGGGTGGACATAGGAAGGTGCCCTATTGGCCCGCCGTACTTCCTGGTGCTGTCCCTAGGACAGGATTGGACAGGTGGGCAGAGCTATACGGCACCTGCGTCAACCCCTCCATCGGTCAGTTCATCTGACAGGTGCACTGTCCCGGGCAAGGCCAGAGCCATCTCACGGGCTTTTTCTCTGCAGCACCATGACAAGGGTGGCCACATGGCAGAGCATGTGTGACTGTCCAGATGCCTGGAGCCTGGCATTCCGTGGTCTTATATGGAGCAGCCTAGAGGCCATGGGAGCTACTGAAGGGCATATAGCGGTGAGCCACACTGGAACAAGAAAATAGACTTATCTGTTTCTGTCTGCTGTGTTGGCTGAAAGAAATACCAGAAAGACTAGGGCATGTCTCTCAGCTGGCAGAGGGCTTCTCTGGCATGCAGGAAAGCCCTGTATTCAGTTGCCAGCCTTATAGAATCTGGGCCTGCTGGTCCATACCTATAAGCTCAGTAGAGGCAGGAGGATCCAAAGTTCAAGTCTATCCTTAGCTGCATAGGGAGTTTGAGGTCAGGCTAGACTACATGAGAGACCTTCTCTCAAAAATAACAAAAAAAAAGGGAGCGGGGGCTGGAGAGACAGCTCAGGGGTTAAGAGCACTGCCTGCTCTTCCAGAGAAGTCCTGAGTTTAATTCCCAGAAACCACACGGTGGCTCACAACCATCTATAATGAGATCTGGTGCCCTCTTCTGGCCTGCAGGCATACATGCAGACAGAACACTGTATGTATAATAAATAAATCTTTAAAAAAAATAACAAAAAAGAAACAAAGATCTGGTAACTACAAGGTTGCTTTACCGTGGGGACAAAGAGTTAAAAACTCTGTTATCTATAAAGCTAGGCATGGTGGGTGGCACAGGCCTTTAATCCCAGCACCTGGGGGGCAGAGCAGAGGCTGGTGGGCATGTGAGTTCTGATATACGGAGAAACCCAGTGTCGAAAAACAAAAAAAAGAAGAGGAGGAAAGAGAAAAAGGAGAAGGAAGACAACTTCTGTGGGTGGGCTTTTGTTTGTCGTTTTGGTTTTTTGAGAAGACAAGCTCTCCGGATGTAGCCCAGGGTGGCCTGGATTTACTGTGTAGCCCAGGGTAGCCTACCCTCCTATTGGAGCTGCCTCAATACTAGAGGTGTGTCGATCACACAGGGCTATCTGTGGATATTTGTGATGGTGATAAAAGCTAACAATGTTTTGTTTTTTGAGACAGGGTTTCTCTATGTAACAGCCCTGGCTGTCCTGGATCTCGCTCTGTAGACCATACTGGCCTCAAAGTCACAGAGATTCACCTGCCTCTGCCTCCCAAGTGCTGGGATTAAGGTGTGAGCCACCACCACCTGGCAAAAGCTAATACTTGTAATGGATTACTGTGCACTGAGTGTGTGATAATCAGCATTGTTACTAGCTGTGGTACCGACGACTCAGGACCATGCAAATAATATACCACTTGCTGCAGGCCACAAAAAATATATGAAGTAGGGATTCAGCTGATTATGACAAAGCTGTACCTGGAAGAATTAAGAACTCTTCCAGAGGTTGAGGCCAAGACTCAAGGAGTTTTAGTGATATTGGCTTCTGATTATTAGCCATTTTCAACTATGAATTTCTCGTGTGCTACTGTAGCTTTTCCATCATCCACTGGGCACAATTTCCCCTCTACAATGAAAGTGTTTGTGTAACTTTCTCCAGCTGTGCTACACCAGACACAGTCAAGATCCCTAATTTCAGGCCCCTCTGTAATTATTGCCATTAGCAGCATCCGGCCAGGACCATCCTCGGATGGAGGAAAGTATCTTATCTGAGACACCTCCCAGATTCTCGAAGAACAGACTTAAGCATCCAGACTACTTGTCTGAGAAGGTCTGGCAGATGTGCTAATTAAGCTTAACTTTCCTCTTTCCGAAGTCTTATCTCTAGTTTTAGATCTTCCTTTAACAACTAACTCAGAACTAAAGGGTTTCTACTTACAGGCACATCAGGCTATGACTCAGGCTGCCCAGCCACCCAGTGCACTCCCCCGCCCTGCCAGAAAACGGCAGGAGCTGAGATTGCTTGGACAGATAAGGGGACCAAAGGAAAATAGAAGGCAGTTTTATTTTCACCCATGGCCTAGTGACTTATAGGTTCTATAGGTTCAAGGAACCACTTCTACGAATACAGTTTGAGCACATAAACCCCTTTGCTTAGATAGGAACTGAATTTAGCCTCAGGTGATTCATTTCCCATTAGCCACTTCCCTTTTGGGTTGCAGATGATGGCTGGCAATTACTGCTCTTTGTGTGGGTCTTATTGCCCTGACCCTGCGGGAATTCAAGCCTGGTGACCTTGCCTCAGCCGGAGCATTGGTGTTGCATGGGTATATAACTGTAGACCTCAGAGACTTGACAGAACTAGGTTGAAGGACTAGAAGAGAGGACTAGAAGGACGAGATGGAAGGTGAGGAAGAGCCAGGTGGGGAAGAACTAGGTGGGTAAGAACGAGATGAGAAAGACCAAGATGGCGCAGAACTGAGACGAAGGAGTCAAGACAGTCTTAGAGGGAACAGCAGGAAGATGTAGAGAGACTCAGGCAAGAGAGGAGCCAAGTGTGAGAGCAGAAAAGAAGCTGTGTGGAGAGAGAGCTGACTCTGAAGAACAAAGCGTATGGACTAAAGAATTTCATGTGCGTAGATTTGTTAGAGAATCCCTCCGATTAATCCACCGCTGGTTAAGTCTCTTCCGGAAATCTGGGAGAAGGCTATGGGGGGGCAGGACCCCAGTAGCTTTCCTTAACCACTTAGACAGACTCCAGGCTAAAACCCTTAGTCCAGGAACTCACTGTAGGCTCAGGCATCCTAGGATGAGAAAGCTAGGGCTCACACAGGAGCTATCGAGGGCGACAGGCCCACGACCGCTAGAGCCTGCCGGCCGAAGCAATGCAAAAGCATCACATGATTTTCACTGAGCCAACATCAAGGGCTGAAGAGGCGGCCCGTAGTTAGGAGTGCTTACCGCTCTTCCTGAGGACTGAGTCTGGTCCCCAGAAGCCACATCAGGTGGCTCTCAACCAGCTGGAACTCCAGCTCCAGGGAATCCAATGCCCCTCTGGCCCCTAAGGACACGGGCACTCACCTGCACCCACACACATATATATTCACATTTATTTACTTATTCTCTCTCTATGTAGCTCTGACTAGCATGGAACTCATTACGTAGACCAGGTTGGCCTTGAACTCACAGAGATCTGCCTGCCTCAGCCTCTCCAGTGCTGGTATTAATGACATGGGATACCACAATGGTTAGGTACACATACTTTAAAAATAAAAATCTTGGGGTGAGTAGGGAGTAAATTGAGAAAGTTGGGTAAAGGGGTGCTGAATATGACTAAAACACACTGTATGAAACTCTCAAATAACAAATAAAAAAATAAAATATCTTGGCTAGACATGGTGGTGCATACCGCTAACCCCAGACGTACGTAGATCTGTGAGTTCAAGGCCAGCCTGGTCTACATAGAAATACCCTAAAAAATAAAAGGGACAATTACCTCTGGATGTGGTACATGTCTTTATCCCAGCACTCAGGAGGCAGAGGCAGGTAGATCTCCAGGAGTTAGGGGCTAGCCCAGTCTACTTAGCAAGGTCCAGGCCAGCCAAGGCTACATAGTGAGACCCTGTCTCAAAAAACTGAAAGCAGTCACTTTGTGATAATAGCTACCATATGTTTAAAAATATTATTTATTGTGTGTGGGTGTGCATAAGAAAGAGTGCAATTCCTTGAGTGTGGAGGTCAAGGAGTTGGGGATTTAGCTCAGTGGTAGAGCGCTTGCCTAGCAAGTGCAAGGCCCTGGATTCAGTCCTCAGCTCTGGAAAAAAAAAAAAAAAAGACAGAGAGCACCTTGTGGGAGTCAGTTTCCTCCTTCCACTACTTGGGTGCCAGGAATTGAACTCAGGTCCTCAGGCTTAGCCACTGAGTTGTTTCAAACGCTGCATGATTTTTTTTGTTTAATGTAAATTTTGTTTGTGGTTCCACATTCAGTGCGAGCAGACCTGGAACTAGCTGCCTCTAACAAGTGCCCAAGGTGGGGAAGGGAGAAGGGGAGGGGATGAGCCTTGTTCTTCCTAGGTGTTACAGTTTTGTTGTGTTGTGACTGAGTCTTGCTGTGTAGCCCTGGCTATCCTGGAACTCCCTACAGAGGCCAGGCTGGCCTTGAATTTACAGCCACCCCCCACCTCTGCCTCCTCAGTGCTGGGATTAAAAGTGTGGGCCACCCCACCCAGCCAGAACGGTTCGTTTTTAAAGATTCGGTCTCCTGCAGCCCAGGCAGGTCTTCACATCTCTATGCAGCTGAAGCTGGCCATGAACTCTCTCTCTATGCACTTCAAGTGCTAGAATCATGGGTGTGCACTACACCCAGCTGCTTGAGCCCTCCCTCCCTCCCTCCCTCCCTCCCTCCCCTCTCGGAACATAGTTTCACACTCTGATCTAGGTTGGCCTTAAACTCCCAGCAGCTCTCTGGCCTCGTCCTTCCAAACCTAGGATTACAGGTGTGTACCACCATTCCTGTCTATCAAGCATTTCTCGCAAATTGTGGATGAGTCTACAAGAGCCGCCAGGGCTCAGGTACTGACAAGGAGGACTGAGAACAGGTTCCTCCCACCCTCTCTCCATCTGCAAGGTCAGGAAGCTGGGTTCCCTCCAGGCTGCAGGGACTGGAAACTACAGCAGATAGACTTGGGTCCTCATCCCCACCTCAGGTTTGGGGTTGTCACCGCCCCCATGCTCCCCAGAACTGGGGCCTCACCAGAATAATGATGTTGCCTACAACCAGCAGCCCCACCACCACAGGAGACCCCTTCTCTTCCTCTGTTGCTGCAGACGCCATCTTCCTGCTGGGGAAAAGGAGCAGGAATGAGACAGGACAGCAGTTGGGAGGGAGGGAGACCCAGCAGACCCTCTTCTCCACTCCACGCTCCGGCCATCAGGGGATGCTCACTTGCTGAAGAGCCCAGGCCGAGACCCACATGCCCCAGGTCCCAGAGCCTGGCAGCGAGCCTCCTACGGAATAGGGAAGTTGGGCTCTTACTGGGCACTTGTTGCTCTCAGTTCCCATGCCCTGTCAATTCCCAGAACCCTCCTCACCTTCAGTGCAGAAACCTCTCTGGCCAGCCCCACCCACAGCAGCTCCCTATATAAGCCCAAGCCCCTCCTTGAGCCAGACTCCAGGAGGGGGGGCAGGGGTGAGCAGGCTGACCACGATGGGAAGACAGATTGTATGAACTCCCTGACACTGAGTGATTTACAGACCTGAAATTCAGGATTGTGCTCATGACCGGCCACTGGGGCAAGGGAACATATGTACCCAAGGCCTCTGGTTCCCAGGCTGCCGTGATGCAGGGGTGGGGGTAGGGGGCAAGCTAACTGCCCGATGTGCTGCCCTTTCCCTAGGGGTGACATGGGCTTTCCTGGGAGCAGGGGTCAGATCCGTGACAGATCCTCCTGGGAATACAGATCAGAATACTGCCTTCTGCAGCTTTCTGAGGCCAGGAGCCCAGAGGGAGGACCAGAGAGAGACCCCCAGAGCAGAGGAGCACGGAGCAGGCCCAAGGCAGGGCAGTGGCAGGGACCGGAGAGGAAAGGCATTGGTTTGGGCAGCAGCAGCAGCAGCAGCAGCAAAGAGGATGGCGCTGGACATAGCTGGGGGTTTGAGACAGGTGTGTCTATATGAAGAGGGAGGAAGGAATGTACTAGAAGAAGGGGACATATGCAATGGGCTTGGCGACACACACACACACACACACACACACACACACACACACACACACACACACACTCTTCTTCAGGCTGAAGAGCAGAAGGGATCTAAATTCAAGACAGAGTAAGTGCACACCTGTAATTGTAATCCCAGTAGTGGGGAGATACAGGCAAGGAGGATTATGGGTTCAAGACTATCCTGAGCTTCATTGGCAAAGGGGTTGGGGGGATGGACAGAGAGGGGGAGAAAGAGTGGAGGAGGAAGAGTGGGAGGAGGAGGAGGAGGAGGAGGAGGAGGAGGAGGGGGGGGGGAAGGCAGAAAGGAAGGGGAAACAAAAGAAAGAAACATATCTAGCTTAAATCCTGCTATCTCTTAGTGCCGCGCGCCTATGCGCACCCCTGCATTGTGCGTGACTGGGTCAGGGATCCCACTTGGCAGCGTCCGGGAAAGCGCCGGAGGTTCGGCGGGCGGGCAGAGCCCGCGGTCTCTCTGATGGCACCCCCTGGTGGTCGCTTGAAGCAAGGGCCCTGGCCCAGAATTTCTCCAGAGTTTTTGTTTTCTCAGAGTTTTCTCGGCCGGCTGTCGCTTCCCTATTGCAGGAGAAGCGGGCAAACGAACAGCGCTTCAAATTCCCGTGTGAAGACAGGGGGTTAGCCCAGAGTGGGAGACCGGGGCAGGAGAATCTCAGGTTCAGGATCACTCTGTTATTCGGCTAGTTATACGGCCCGCTTGTGTTACAGAAGATCCTGCCTTGGCGCATGCCATTAATCCCGACAGAGGCAGGAGGATGGATCTCTGTGAGTTCGAGGCCAGCCTGGTCTACAGAGCAAGATCCAGGACAGACACCAAAACTACACAGAGAAATCCTGTCTCGAAAAACAAAAACAAACAAACAAAAAATTTTATTTTATTTTATGTTCATTACCTGAATGTATGTCTGTGTGAGGGTGTGAGCCCCTGGAACTGGAGTTAAAGACAGGTGTGAGCTGCCATGTGGGTGCTGGGAATTGAATCTGGGTCCTCTGGAAGAACAGCCAGAGCTCTTAACCACTGAACCATCTCTCCAGTCCCAAAATTGTTATGTTGCCAAATTCATCATGTATGGCTTTGAAGATCTTTTTGTTTTTGTTTTTTTTCCAGACAAGGTTTCTCTGTGTAGCCTTGGATGTCCTGGAACTCACTCTGTAGCCCAGGCTGGCCTCAAACTCAGAGATCTGACTGCCTCTGCCTCCTGAGTGTTGGGATTAAAGGTGTGTGCCACCACTGCCTGGTATTTTTGTTGTTGTTGTTTTAATTAAATTGTATTTACTTATTTTGTGTGTGTGTCCATTGTGTGTATGTGGGGCTGAGAAGACAACCATGTGGGTCTCATGATTCCGCAGGTAAAGGTACTTGCCACCAAGCCTGATGACCTGAATTCTATCCTTTGGACTCTTAGGGTGGGAGAGAACTGACTCCTGCCAACTGTCATCTGATTTCTACCCTCAGGCTAGGGCACACGCACACACCCCTAATATTCACGCATGTACACACAAACACACAAAGTAAGTGTAATAAAACATACTAGCCGGGCAGTGGTGGCGCACGCCTTTAATCCCAGCACTAGGGAGACAGAGCCAGGGGGATCTCTGTGAGTTCCAGGCCAGCCTGGTCTGCAGAGCAAGATCCAGGGCAGGCTCCAAAACTATACAGAGAAACTCTGTCTCGAAAAAACCAAAAAAATAAAAAATAAAAATAGAAATAAAAACAAAACCCTAGAGCACAGGGCTGGAGAGATGGCTCAGCAGTTTAGAGCACTTATTGACTTATTGCTCTTGCAAAGGACCTGAGTTCGATTCTCAGAACCCATAGTGGTGGCTCAAAACCATTTGTATAAGTCTAGTTGCAGGGGGATCCAATGCCTTCCTCTGGTTGTCAAGGGCACATACATGTAGGCAAAATAATCTGAACTTTTTTTTTTTTTTTTTAAGTAACAGGGCAGAATGGCTGGGAGCATAAAGGTGTTTGCCCTGTGAGCCTGAGTTCGATCCTGAGAACTGTGGAAAGATAAGAGACAAGTGACTCTACCAAGTTGACACCTGACCTCCACGTGTCCACACACACATTATACCACATTTAAAACAAGGGAGGGCTGGAGAGACGACTCAGCAGTTAAGAGTACACACTGCTCTCCAGAACCTGAGTTTACGTCCCACCACCCTGCTGGGTGCTCACAACTGCCTGTAACGCCAGCTTCGGGGAATATGCTGCCCTCTTCTGGCCTCCACAGGCACATACAATCCCTCACACACAAAAGTAAAGATACAAGTGTGTAATACAGCCACTCAGAAGGCTGAGGCAGGAGGACTCCAAGTTCAAGGCATACCCAGACTTCACAGTGAGTCCAAGGTCAGCCTGGGCAATAGCAAGATCCTATCTCAAAAAGCAAAATAAAACGGAGGGATGCTTGAGAGATGGCTCAGGAGTGAAGAGCACTCACCGCCCTTGCAGGTGGGAGTACATCCCCAGCACCAGTTAGCATGCAGCTCATAACCACATGCAACTCCAGTTCCAGGTTCAAAGCCCTCTTCTGGCCTTAGAGGGTATTTGTGGCATGTGCACACATACACATAAATTTAAAGAGTGTGAGTACAGCTCAGTACTTGCCTAGAATCCCCCAAAAAGGGGCTGGGAGTATGATTCAGTGGTAGAGCCCCTGCCTAGAAACTATTGTGGGGCTGGGGTGTGGCTCTGAGTTCAACCCAGACCAACAAATCAGTTCTCATTGTCCCTCAGGGCCTGTGGTCCTCCGGCAGGCAGGTGTCTTTGAGAGCCCACTCAAGGCTGTTATCCTCAGGACATGCAGCATCTCTGTTCATCTCAATCTCAACAGACATGAGACAGGACAAGAGGCCCTGCAGTCACAGGCTTTCTAGCAGCCAGGCTGACCCGATACGCTGGTGTGCGGCAGTTCCTGAGGATGGTGTGCTGCTGTCTCACTGTTTGGTTTGTTTTTCGAGACAGGGTTTCTCTGTGTAGCCCTGGCTGTTCTAGATCTCACTCTGTAGACCAGGCTGGCCTCAAACTCACAGAGATCCGTCTGGCTCTGCCTCCCAAGTGCCGGGATTAAAGGCGTGTGCCACCATACCCCACTATAAATAAATCTTTAAAAGAAATCTACTCTTCATTGTAAAAATAAGAAAGATAACCACTGTGAGGCCCCTTCTGGACCAGGGCACGCCAGCTTCTTGTCCAACCATCCTATATACACAGTGCAAAACTTTTCCGGTCAATTTTTATTAGTAGTTGCATGATTCAGGGTCCCAGGGCAGGGACCATCATATACCCAGGTCCCCTTTACTATCTGGGGGGAAGGACAGAGAACAGAGGAGAGGTGGGCGGAGCCAGGTCAGATCTTCCCAGGAAACGTGCCTTCTGCTCTGCGGTCATCCCAGGCTGAGACCTGTGGAAGATAAACAGTGTAACTCCTCCTCCTGTGATAAGACCACATTCCCTCCCTTTAGCCACGGAGGCTTGTGGATAAAGCACGTGGCCAACGGAGGACCACAGGTACCTGTTTTGTGCTAACCACCGTTCCAGAGAATCAGCAGTGACTTGGAAAGACAAAACTACTACTCTTAAGCCGGGCGGTGGTGGCGCACGCCTTTAATCCCAGCACTCGGGAGGCAGAGCCAGGCGGATCTCTGTGAGTTCGAGGCCAGCCTGGGCTACCAAGTAAGTTCCAGGAAAGGCACAAAGCTACACAGAGAAACCCTGTCTCGAAAAACCAAAAAAAAAAAAAAAAAAAAAAAAAAAACCTACTACTCTTTTATTTTTCAAGTTTTTTGAGACAGGGTTTCTCTGTGTAGCCCTTGCTATCCTGGAACCAGGCTGGCCTTGAACTCAGAGATCCACCTGCCTCTGCCTCCCTAGTGCTGGGACTAAAGGTGTGGGCCACCACCTTGGACCAAAACCACTATCCTAGATGAGCTGACAGTCTAAGGGGAGAAGAGGCAGGAAACCCCAGGGTCACCTGCAGAGTGGGAACTGCAGAGGCCCCCAGTTCAGTTCCCAGCACTCACACCGGGGAGCTCACAAGCCAGGGCCAAGTGATCTGATACCTTCTTCCGGCCTCCTTGGGCACCTGCACTCACATGCACATATCCACACACAGAAACAGACAGAACAGAACAGCAGTTTTGTTTTGTTTTGTTTTAAGATTTATTTGCCGGTTGTTGTTGTTGGTAGTAATAGTAGTAGTAGTAGTAGTAGTTGTAGTGGTGGCGCACACCTTTAATCCCAGCAATCAGGAGGCAGAGACAGCTGGATTTCTGTGAGTTTGAGGTCAGCATGGTCTACAGAGAGTATTCCAGGATAGCCAGGGCTACACAGAGAAACCCTTGGGTGTGGGGTGGGGTAGGGAATGTGATAAAAAAAACAAAAAAAGAAAATATCTCCATGTAGGCAAGCCAGTAGGGCATTTTCTTAATTAGTGATTGATGGGGGAGGGCCTAGCCCAAAATAGATGGTACCATCCTTGAGATGGTGGTCCTGAGTTCTATAGGAAAGCAGGCTGAGCAAGCCATGAGAACAAGCCAGTAAGCAGCACCCCTCCGTGGCTTCTGCATCAGCTCCTGCCTCCAGGTTCCTGCCCTGACAGTTTGCTTTTGATGTTTCACCACAGCAATAGTAACCCTAACAAGACACTAGGCATTTATGGATAAGGAGGCTGGTCTATGTTCTAGTACAAACGACTAAGAGCGCTGGGTGGTGGTGGCGGCGGCGACGGGTGGTGGCGGGTGGTGGTGGTGCAAGCCTTT